ACATACCTTAAATGTAACAAAGTTGAATGTATAATATTTACAGTGAGGAAACATTTGCAAATATGTGCAATACACACAGGATAAAATAATATAAATGGCATATTAACAAGGATATGAAATATTCTAAACATTAAAGCTAAAATTCCCAATTCTGAAAATCATTATAGTCCTTTTTTTCCCCCTTTGTTTTATTATTTTGTTTTTGTTTTTTTTTTCCAAGTATGGATAAGATACTTGAGAATGATGAAGCCCTCCAGGTACTAGGCAGTTTTGCTTCAAGTTCATGACTTAGGATTCTATTAATGATCAGTTCTGGCCCCTATACCTCCCTACAGACTCACAGAGATAATGAGAAGAGCAGGGAATTATCGATCAAAACTAATGTGTCTTCCTTGTAGATACTGAGTTTCTGTGTTAAACAAAATCAGTCAATGCCAACTGAAAAGCATGTTAATCATAAGGTATGAAAAACGTTTTATCGACTAAGATTCTCTAGAAAATAATGTAGCTACAATGCTTGCAAAGAATAAAACCCTATTAAAATTTTAAAAAGGTGGTGTTTTATGTTTTTCTGTTTTGGTTTGGTTTGGTTTGTTTGTTTGTTTTTTTTTTTAAGAAGATTTTTTTTTGCAACATAAATTGTCTTAACACTTTGACTTCAGTTACCTGAGATCCAGCTATTTGAAATTTAGGAATATGGGGTATCAGGATCAATAGCATAAAAGCAACCAGAACTCAATTCCAGAACATGAGAATCTTCTAATCACCGATTTCAGGTAATCAAATTAAAGATTGCCATCCTCATTTCCTTGGGCAATTAAGCAACTTCTCTCATACCACTTTTCCTCTTATAAACTGTTTCGACATTCTGGGGGAAATTACAATTTATTTTTGAGCTATAAATACATATTGGACAGAATTACTGGGATCTACTGAACACTTAAACATCCATCCCACACTTTACAGGTTAATATACTTGTATTCTACGAAATGCTTTGGCATAACAAATCTGATTTTCAGGTGGATGCAATAAGGAATGCAAACTATGGGTGCATGTGTACACATGCTGTTTTCACACTGGGAAAAAAAAAGAGAATAATTGCTATCTCCCAATCTCTCACAGGCTCCAGCTTAAAAAACTGATGAAGCTTGACTGACACACAGGGAAATTACTCTGGTGATAAACCAGATGCTATGTTGAAGCATAATATCTTATTAAACTAATGCAACTGAGGTCATTGCTGTGGAAGTTGATCACAGAAAAGGGACTAGGGACTACTAGTTGTAAATAATAATAATATAGCTAAAAGTGCAGGCAAACTACTGTCATAGTATCACAAACCCTACATTCATGAATAAAAATTCCATCACAACCAAACATACCAAACATACATTATGACTCTGTGGGTCTAGGAATGAAGCAATCAACACTAAATCAAGCTTGAAATCAGGGTGAATATTGACGCTATTTTTTCAGATTACATTAGCAATCTGCCATATTTAAAGACTACTAGAAAAAAATAAAGGAGTAAATCAGCACTCTCCATCACAGGGAGGCATTTCAAGAAAATATCTGTTCTTCATGCTCTGCTCAGACCAAACCCTGAACACTGCATCTTCATTTTTAACAACTCCAGTTTTATCTATCTGACATATACTGTCTTTCATTTTTTAGGAAAAGGCCTTAGCTGATGTAGCAGAATGGATTTTGGTAATCAACTCAGAGCTTACTCTAAGAGCTATGTTCACAAGTGCAATCTCAGACAATGCTTGTGAGGTTTAAGGGCCCTTAAATTACTTTTTTTGCTGCAGTAATTGACACTTGCATTTCGGAACTCCAGGCAACATACAGCAAAACTAAATATATTCTAAGGCATATTTCTCCGTTAAACAATGGTGAACAAAGGGTAGCCAGGTACAACATGATGCATTTGAAGGTTGTAAAAATTAACAGCTTTGGTACTGAATCTTTAAAACAGTTTCTTGCCAGAAGCTGTGACACAGTTGTTAGCTAATGTTTTCTGGTCAGTAGGTTAGCAGGTCATGCTTCCTATGCCTGCTTCCTTCACAAATGACTTTGCATTAATAATTAAAGGTCTAAGGTATAATTCTGCTACCTTTACTTCAAAGAAACCTTATTAAAATCTAGACTATATAAAGAATAAAATGAAATTAAAAATAAAACACCACCAGTAAGATTTTTTGAAAGCAGAAATGTATTCTTAAACAACAATTACATTCTTAACATCCAGTATATTACAAATAAACAAAATGTGCAAAAGCACACTCTGTGTCCTATTTAAGAAAGCTAAGAGAAGGACATAATTGTTTGGGAAATGTGATTCTTTATGGTAAAAGAATACCTGACAAATATGTTTGGTTGTTGTATTCCTAAATTAGCAGTATTTGCCTTAGTATCAGAGACAAAACTAGCTTCTCTCAGACCTAATTTTAGGTAGATTTCATGTTCTGTCCAGAAGAAAGCATTAGCAGCTGTGTTTGAAACATCTAGAAATTAATATAAACAAAATGGAAAATTCTTTGAACTACTGTTCTTTAAACTATGAACCTGGTAAATTCACAGTTGGATAGTTGTTAGTCAATGGCCGATTTATCTGACAGCTGTATTTGCAAGGAGAAGATTAGAGTGAAGATAAAATGTTCATTTCTTCTTTCGTATATAATTATGGCATGTACAAGTATTTTTTTAACTTAATTCAAGAATAAACCTACAGATTGAGGATTTGGCTTGTGCCTTCATTTTAATTTGGGAACTTGATATATGATTCTAGATATCATTAACCTTTTTGAGCTTTGATTACAGAACATCCCTAACATTGCCCAGGAAAGTGAAGCAGCATCTCCTACATGTCTTGCAATTATCATTCCTAGCAAAGGGCTCAACATCTTAAGTATAAACATTTCACAAAATAATAAAGATCTGTGTTATTAGATCTTATTAGAGATAGGTTGAAAAGCTTTAAAAAGATTAATTATAGTACTTGGACGTGTCAGTTAATGGGGAGCTCTGTTTTTCAACTGATGAACTTCCCACTTATTTTTCAAATGTGGAGTATTACATAAAGGACCCTCTCTGATTACACAATATCTCAGCATAGATCCTGTCATTCAGTTCTCTGTTTTCATAAAATGATGATCAAGAACACTGAAAGCAAAAGGAGATTTGAAAGACCTTCTTGAGTGGCCAATAAGATAGACAGGGTAGACAGATTAGATAGGTAGATAGACAGATGACAGATAGATAGATAGATAGATAGATAGATAGATAGATAGATAGATAGATAGATAGGTAGATAGATGATAGATAGATAGATAGATAGATAGATAGATAGATAGATAGATAGATAGATAGATAGATAGAGTTCTCAAATAGTAAATTATTTCAAAACTTTCATGCTTGGAATCTAACCTAATACAGCAATTAGAGGATGAAATGTAGTCATGTCTTCTTACATGCACATTCTGCTAATCTCTCAGCACCACAGGTGATTCAAGGCAAGGCAGAAACAGTGAGTACCAGGACATCTGATTTATCTGAGGCACTGAAGATGAGACAAAGTACTCTAATAAGGTGCCTTTTACTCTGTTGGGTATAAAGGAAAACTGAAGTTCCCAGGTTAGACAACTAACTATGGATACCTAAGTTACAGCAAATGAATCTCACCACAGGCCATAACTGACTGAGAAAAAAATTGTATTTTGTTCCCATTAGAAGAGGAAAACCTCGTATTTTCCCTTATAAATTTGTTTTAAAAAGGAAAACACATGTTAAAAATTTAATTGCTAAACATTTTTTTTTCTGAGGTTACAACTATAAATGACACAATAAAATCATTCTATGATTCCATGGTTCCTTTCTTAAGCAGTTAAGTCTCTTAGAATAAAACAGGAAAGATTTACTGGATATTGTATCACATTACGAAAAAGACAGCTAAGAAACTGTCTTAGAGTACTAAAACCAAATGCAAAAATAGAATGTGCATGATGTTCTATATTCAGCTTTCTGGGTAGGCTTTGAAATCTCCTTTGAGCTGTCTTGTTTGATGATCACTGGTAAGACCAAATTCTGAGGCAACAGTTGGGTGTTCTCAGCAATATTTTTATCTGAGGACTCAAACTAGTCAGCCTTCAAAGGCAATCTGTGAATTTGTTATAGTTCTATACACACTCATCTTCTTTTTACTTTTGTTAACTGAGCCTAGATCAAAACATATAATTTTGCATCAACTATTTTCAATATGTCTCCAAATTTATTTTTAATCTAAAAGTTTGCTAATGACCTTGCATGGGCAGACCTCTCTTAAAGATTGTCCCACTGTGAACATCTGATTTAGCTGTAACACAGAAATTCATTTGTCTCAAAAACTGATTGCAGAGTGAAACATTTTCATACCTCCCTGTATGTCAGCAGTTTTCCAGCTGCATGCAATCACTGGATCTGCAGTGAATCATACAGAATCACAATTTTAAGGAGCGATGTATGCTGGACATATGAGGTATATTCAGATACTGTATTCTAACTATAGTATCAGTATTTTCTTCAACAACGTGAACTATCACACAGGAGCAGTCACATTAGCTTCCCAGTGGCATAAAACTGTTCAGGCTCTTTTACAGTGGTTTTGTTGAGGTGTTTTGGTTTTTTTTTAAATAAAAAGGTAAGAAATAAAAAGTAGGGGGAAAAGAATGCCATTTTATTGCTGATGCTATCATCACATGCAAAACATAACAGGAGCGTTCTGTTAACATTCAACTGCATATGAAATTAAAACAAAAGTGAAATTCCAAAAAAAAAAAAAAAATCACTGAAATATCTATACTATTAGTAATACTCTCTTGGGAATTTCCATGATATTGCCATTACTAGTTGGGACACATAAAAAATTTTGTATAGAGCTTTCATTTTTTTATGAGACACTACCAGTTTTACATCCCTCTTGTATTGGCAGAAACTCATTGAATTGAACTTTGCTTCTTACCATCAACACAGGCTGGCCTTGCTCTTGTTGTACCGGCAATCTGTCCTTTTTTACATGCACAGCGAGCTGTTTGTCGGGCTATAGTCCTTCGGGGCTGACTGCTATCTCTGTCCAAAGTAACAATCTCACATGTACCTGCAGCCAGTTGACCTGGAAAAAGAACCAGCAACAGGTACCAGAGTCACTGAATGCACTACAGGCAATCTATTACAGCCAAATAGATTCATGGCCCTATGTCACAGCAGACACTCCACAACAAATGGACAGCCAGCTGATGGATATAATAAAATGAGATGGCACGCAATTTTTTCTTTGTGGTGGACATATGAATACCCTGCAAACGGGTTTTGTAAGAAAATGATTATTGTTCCATAAAAGCCAGAGGGCTGAGATTACACAGGTTACTTTTACTTATGTTGGCTAAGTAAAGGAACAATCTGCTTTTAAGCAATGAAATTCAAATGGTGTGCTCTTTATTCATTTTCAGAAAAGAAATGATAAAGAATATGGAAAACAAAAAACTTCCCCACATGTCCATGAATATAATGGAGTCTTAACAGCTTTGTGTGCTGGTTTGGGAAGAAAAAATCTCTCAAAGTATGCCTGCATTTGACCAGATTGTCAGTCCTTTGGTTCTTCCTTCATCTAAACTAAACGGTAATTCATTCTCTGCCTGACTCCTATTTGAAGTAACTGGTCTTTTTTTGTTTTACTAAATTTACTATGCAGCCATCCTGCAAATGGCAGTAAAATGACACTGCACCATTAGCTCAGTAACATGCTTTTTATTGACTTCTCCAATTTATGTAGCTTTCCCTGAATACTGAGGAAAATCTACACCACCTAATTCTGAATTTGGACCATACTATGAGATGCAAAACAAAAACCACAAAAGCTCTCTGCTAAAACTTCTTTCATGCAGAATATTAGTCTGAAATAAATGTCATATATTTTGAATTATGCACTTCCTCTGATACAACCAACAGTAGGTTGGCTACTAGTTGGTATACTATACTTTGGTATACTAGTTGGTTACTGGTATACCAAAATATTACCTTTTACAAGCAAGGAAGATACATTATTGAATTTCAATGCATATGAAGACTGAAAAACAATCTTGGATATCACTCTGTATTACACATAATTTCTGGATTTTTCTGGTACAGTAGTAAATATAATTTCTATTGTATTTTGCCTTTGCAGGCAATCAATTATAAACCTTCAAGTGAGGATGTGAAAAAATATAATCTGCAAATCACAAGCTTACTATGTTTTGCTTTCGTAAAAAAGACTGGAACAAATGCAACATTGTATTTATGAAAAAGTTGTCCAGTTTAAGTCATAATCACGGTAAATTATTTTTATGCTGTTGAAATACTGAAAAAGACCAGTGAGACAAAAAGCTGAATAAAACAACCAAACAAACCAACAACACTTCCCAAATAAAACACAAAACTCCTAGAAGTGTACGTGTATGGCATGCAAGTCTAAAATTATAATGACATTTCTGAATATTGCATTTTTTTCCATTCAGAATACAAGTTTACTCATTATATTGCTCTCCAAACCAGCTTATGATGCTTCCTATTGTGTGGATCCTGTCTTGAAACTGTCAGAACAACAAAATACTGCCAATAGCATTGTGACTGGTTCACTGCTAAGACACCAAAATTTTATGTTGCCGTGACTCCTATACTGCAGTGAATTACATGGTAAAACTGAGGATCTCAAAGATGAATGTGGAACAAGATAGTCTACAAATTTATGAAAATATGTGACATATATGTAAGTAATATGCATTAGGCATTTATAAATACAGACATGATATTCACAATAGTGAACACTTTCACCATAGTTTTCAATTGCTGCTAGCAACTAGACTTGTCATCTATGGTTAGCCCTGAGGTTCTACTCTTTTCTACCCACTCTCTTAATAAAAACATCTTATGATAAACACATACCAATGAGAAGATTTTTACTCTATCATATGCTAGTCTTTTGTTTCCTCTGAAATCTTGGATTAGGAAGCAAAGGTTTAGCAAGAACGATAGTGGCACATAATTTTCCAAGGACAAGGAAAATCCAGATAGAAACTGAAACATCTTGAACTGAAAAAAAAAAAAAAAATTCTTTTTTCCCCCATTGCTAATATATTTCATTCTGGGTTGCAGGAGATGTATTGCTCCCACGGAATACAGCTGTCTGTGGTAGATCATGTAAAAAAGACATAATCAGAGATGTATTCAGATCTTGACCCCTTAGGCATTTGAACATCGTGATTATGGACCTGCATTGAGAACACAAATAGAATGGAAACCAAAGAAAAAGCGGAAGCATAAATATGACATGTCTAAGTGTTCCTGAAAGTAGTGGTTGCAATATTCGCTACTGTTTGTAAGTCTCTACACTACCATTTCTTTCATTAAAAGGTAAAACATATAATGTAGATGAATTGTTATATAAACCCCAGTTAAGAGGAAAGGAGCCAGTTTTACAGCACAGTGAAGGTAAATAAGGACTATGTGCCGAGTAAAAGCACAATGAAGCTTTCTGTCAAGATAATTAGTGAAAAAAAAAGCTTTTCAGGGAATACAAGCAGTGACTATTGATAAGAATGCCTATAGATCATTTTTTCTGCTTTTGGACCTGTCTAGTTTTAGATCTGTGTAGGTTCATTTTAAGCCACATGGGCTATTTGGTTTTTATGATTGCTTTCAGCTGTTTATTTTGTTTCGAGATGATAATTTCTTCTGGGCATAGTGACCTCAATTTTTTTTGTGAACTTTGAAAACCAGGATATCTAAATGAGAGTAATAATTGTTGAACAAAGATAATGTCACACTGCCTCTCACAGAATTCTGTACAGCTATTAAAAATAAGGGAAAATTAGAACTATTTTTAAAACATTTCATAGTTTTTTTTAAGATCATTTCTCTGTTATCATTCGTGTTTCTCTGGCAGAAGAAAATCATTGAAAGATGGATACCGTAAATTAAAAAATATTGTAGAGCTGCAGCAGTTCTTCCCACACATATGACAAATATTTCTTAGTCATTGTGTCACAGGGTGCAAATACTGCAAGTATACATCCACTGTTACTTGGCTTTAGATGGCTCTAAAGCATGAGAAGTATTAGCTAAGGTTATGGAGGCCCATCTCCATGGAGAGAGTCATCCTGTTGTAAAGCATGTCCTTTCTGCCTCACGTTAAGTAGAGGACAAGTCTACAGAGTACCTTATTTAGGTGGTAAGCATGCTACTTTGGCTTTTTAACAATTTAATCTAGAAATGTGAGGTACAAAATGATGTAACAAAAGGAATATACTTCTTATAAGTACTGAGTTTAAAGAATCAGGGTACATTTCATTTTCAGGAAAGTTAACAAAGTGACCACTTTCAAAGATATTAATGAAAAAAAGCCATTCATCTGTGAGCCTCTGAACACTTTCCATGTCAATCCTAACCACAGAGAAGAGATCTCAAGGCAGCAATGGGTGGATTTTTAACAGAGCTTTTCCAGTTGAGAGATAGATTAAGAGCCTATGGAACAGTCATAAGGACGCCATTTTATCAGTAGATTGTATTTATGCACTTACACAAAGTAGTTCACCACTTTTGAACATGAACTAAATATTCTTGGGAGACAAAAAAAGGCAAGCATCATCAGAGAACTCTTGATTTATTCTAGCCTTGCCTGAAAGGTTTTCTCCCAAAGAAATAAAAAATAAATAAAATAAGATATAATAATAAAATAAAATAAAATAAAATAAAATAAAATAAAATAAACATTATTTTATGGACCAAGCATAAAGTTTATTTCAGTTATAATCATCCAGTTTTTCAATTAATGAGTGTTAATTTGTTGCTGTTATTGGTTTAATATTATTATTTTATAAATATTTATTTTTGTAAGTTTATTTTACTAATTAAGACCTCAGTGAGATTTATTTGATTTTGTATTGCCAGTATGTGTTTACTAAATAGAGAAAAGGATTGGGTTCTTTAAGGTTCTTCTATAATGTTGTACTTCATTCTTAAAATGCCAATTGATATGTCCTCTCACTCTCCCACTGCAAACACACATGCTTCTACATGGAATTCCTTCAGAAAAAAAGGAAATCTACAGGATTCTTAATTAAAATGTAAGTCAAACCAAAACAAAACAAAACAAAACCCTACAACCGTTAAAATGCCAAATACAATGGGATTCAGCTTTTACCCTCCAGCTTGCACTCATGAACTTGTTTCCAGTATTTTGTTTTTTTCTCAATGAAGTCCACTGTGATCAGTAGTGAAACTGCCTTTTGTGAGACTTTCATGGAACTCTGTAGCACTCAGTGAGTTTAGGCATGTACATTTAGCAAATGGTGCAAGAATTAACTCAAGGTAAAAACTATTATATTTTAGAAGTTATTTAGTACTTCCATTCTTCAAAGAAAAGTGTCACTGAAAAGTTTAAAAGTAAATGACATTTTTTTTTTATGTGCGTTACTAAGCGCCCTTTGTCTATATGCCATTGCTGAAAGAACAAAGACTTTGAAAGATCTATATTGTCCATCATAGGCAAAACCCTCAAATAGTAAATATTTTTGTATTACATGGAGGGTATATAGCATAACATAAATTTTCTGTGGACGAAAATATTTTTGTTCTCTAATAGGACATAAAATCTGCCTAATCCACATTGATCACATCAAGCCAGTTATAAATGTTATGATTTTTTAATTTATGTATGCTGAAAAGCTGAAGACTTTCCCTCAAATTCATTTAAAGAAATAAAATCAGATTATGAACTCATGGTATCTGTGGGTACAATGAAAATAAATCTTGATCTAAATATGCAGATCTTCCCAGGGTTTTAGATTTCATGCTCATCCAGAAAATCTACTTCTGAATTGCATGCACAGGCTTACATTATAGTTGCAGTGAACAGTTTTTCTATGCATCACCAGTTTGATTCCTAGCAACACAAGCTCTTTTAGTTCAAAATGCATCAAGTTAGATGTCATTAAAATTCTTGGCTAGATTCAAATACTCTTTTGTCAGCGAACACAATGCAGAATTTGTTTCAAAATCAGATCATAGGAATACATTCAGTAGTTTTCTATTACAATATTGAAGTCTTTCTGACAACAGAGCCATGCCAACTCA